TTAGTTTTTGCACAGCATCAATGTTTTCTGACACAACAACTGATTTTGGACAACCTTCACGACTTTCGTCGGTGAGCGAACGGCGACCACGATTAAATTCGTTATACCAGCGTTTCACAGTGGCAAAGGATGGGGCTTTATCGCCAAAAGTGGAAGTAAGTTGATCGATGCACTCCTGTCTTGATAATCCACGTCGAAAGTCGTAATAAATCATTGCACGAAAATTTTCACGAGTTAATTCCATTTTTTCGCTGAGACATAATTCTCAAGTGACTGTAAACAATACAAATCGCGCTCAAATAACAAAACGTTCTGAAGAAGGTTATGGTCAAAAATGTCAAACTTTCTAGTGGAAACGTCAGATGGCACCTGACAACACTCAGTGTTGCCAAGGCTCAAAATATAAGTAGTGCCCCTCGTATTATATTTTTAATAAGTTTTATTGTCTGTATATAATAACCGATACAATATCTCCGTAATTTCGTATATTAAATTATATTTTTCATTGTATCTTATTAAAATATATTATAAATCTTTATTAATTATTTAAAAATGTTATTTACGATATCATATACGAAAAGTATTATGAGAAACAATTACTAACATCTTATAACGTATGTCTTTTGTTCTTGCATAATAAACGTTCATTACAAGTAATTATTATTACCAAAGGCGTGCCACCGTAGATTGGCTCGTAATTTGAACAAATGCAAAGTGTCATTCGATCGAATGTGCACAAAAAGCTGCCGCTGGGCTAAATTAATAATTACTATTTATGGTTATATGAGCGTAATGAATAATTATGGATTATCGACTGAGAATAACAATTTGCGACTCATTGCGCACAAATGAGGTTAATTTCATTGCGGTGGAATGTATCGGCATTTATTTATTCTCCTATATTTCTATATAGTAAGCAAGAACACATGTTCTATTGAAATAAGGTATTTATTACGTACAACTTTTATCTTTAAGACTATATTTATTAATTATATTAAATATAATATATTCTATTTTTAATGTATTTTTAATTTTAATCTTTTATCGTCTTGTTATTTTCTATCTTATCAGAATATTATCCAAATATAGCTACTTTTCTTAAATCGGCAATTTTTCTCAGAAACATGGCTCATCTTATATGTACGTTCGTTTTATCGTACAACCGCCGTAAATTGTCAATTTTATTTTTGACTTTGCCAGTGGCGTTCCGTTATTGCAACATAAAGTTTGCAGGAACACAGTATGAAATTTGTATGGTAGAAAAGGCGGTCAATAAGGAAGAAGGGGAAGATGTCAGTCCTAAATCCGGAGATAGCAATGGAGAACGAGAAGTACCGAAGCTTATGTCTCCCCGATTATTGGCAGTGTTTTGATTAATGCTCCGTATAATTCAAACATTAGATAGAATTATATTAGTTTCCTAATTACAAGATTACAATTGAAAATTTTAATAATTAATACAATGAGCCCTCTTTATACCAATTTGTTCGCTTACGATATATAATTTCATTCCGCATAATAATATAATATACATTTACACTAATAATGCACGTGAGAAATGTTTTTCAATAATTAGTAGCTTAATGTACTTGAAGGTAGGGACAAATTTGTGATACGATATTACGATATGCAAATTATAATACCGTATCAAGTAGCACCATTAATGATAACGATACTGGAGCAGCTACTACCGAGATGTATAATATCGCCACTATTAATAAGTAATAGCCGGCATTATTAATCATATGTAATTATGATAGAATACGGGGTACCATGTAATTGTCCTTATTAACAAACAATAATAGACAATACGTCATAACAATATTAGTGTACACGTTAATCACATATACATTGATAATTCACGTATCTATAATAATATGACCAAAACAAGAGTTAGTCGTTATGAAATTATTTAAGTAATTTGAAGTCGTGTTCATATTATCTTTTTGATAACTCACATTTCGTAAAAGAATCTAATTTATGTCTAAAACAAATATAGGAGCATCCTAAATGAGTATTGAATGCAATTACCTTATTTTTCTGCAGTTGTTTTTTTTTGCCTAATAAAATTTTTTATTATACCAGGGTATACCAGTAGAATCCGAACAATTTTCAAATTAAAATTCTCACCATATAATAATTCGTCAACCGGCAACTAGACGACATTCAAATAAGCCTGATCCATTGGAAACAAAAACAGAACTTCGTCATGGTCGAGCTGGTTAAGAAGTGTCCAGAATATAACCGGAGAGCTGCGATTGCTGAAAGTCTTCGCGCTGGACGCACCGTGCCCGAAATAATAAAGTTCTTCGGTTACCCAAAGTTATCGGTTTACGATATTACCCGTCGCTACGCGGCTTCCAAAGGGTCCGAAGAAACCTCTTATACGCCGGTGCGGAAGATTCAGGTTAGGAAGAAGACCGAAAGGACTACCAATCTCATCGAAAAGGCGCAAAAATGCATTTCCGATAATCCTGGGATTTCGATTCGGAAATTAGCGGCTATTTTGAAGACAAGTGTATTTACGACCTCTCGGAT